GGGGGAGGGGACGAAGGTGAATGCTCTGGTGCGGAGTCCGGTGGCCGAAAATACTAGGCTGGAAATAGGAAATTGAACACTGAAATGTTTCTGGCTCTGTAGCAGCAGGCAAGAAGCCGCCGTGCTTTTTATTCTAAGGCTGTGGAGTCACTTTCTGTGGACCAACGCGCCAAATTGGGAAGATTCCTGAATAGGATTTTTTACTAGACAGAAGCCCGCTGTAGCTTCCTTTTATAGCTTGTTCCAGTCCTTTTGAGGAACAACACCCCACTTTCCTGAAAGCAAAGCGAATCCCTTTTCCCAATGACTGTGAACAATGTATTCTTTAGCTCCAAGAGAAGGGTCCTAGGGAGCAATTGGAGAAGGTCGTACAGGGCAAGAGGGAGGGGACACAGGCTGGGCTTGTGGACACTAACTGAAGCCTACAGCTGTCACATTCCCGCAGAAATTAGATTCCAGGGGATCACAGCAAACTGCTTGTCTGCTGTGTTTTCCTTTGGAGGCAGAGGGGAACTGTGCAATAGCGAATTCTTCTGTTTTGTAAATGTGGGGTTTCTATCCCTCCTCCTTTTCTTCCTTCATTTGATGCAAAGCGTCCTTTACATGATACATTGCTTCCTCAAACTTAAGAGTTGCTGTGCGTTTTAAAGGCAGGGAGAAGGGAACTCATATCAAGCATTAAACCAAGTGTGTTTTCTAGAGCTCAATCATTTGCTAAATACCCACCATCCCTTTATCACCCAAGTGTTGTTCTGATGGATGTCCTTAATGTTAGCTTTCTGAAGCTGGAAGGCCTGGCTGAGAGGATTGCAGGTTTCATATTATCCCTTTTCTTGGTACTCAAAACTTTAGGAAAGATAGAAATTCCTGATCGTAAGCTACCTGAGTGTTGGTGGCAAGAAGATATATGGTAAGGGATTTTAAAAGCAGAGCGTTTCTCCATGCAAGCACTCCACAACGGCCTTTGGACAATATTTATAAGATTCTTGGGGAGCACAGGAAGGCACACAGACAAGGAGACTTTATAGAAACCACTGGCTTTGAACTACACCGAGGAAATATGTATGGCTGCCACGTTTTCTATTAGTGGGAAAGGAAATTATTCAGGGGATGAAGACCTGAAAGCTAATTCCCTCCAATAATCTTGGTGTACATATTTGAAAGGAGGTGTCATCCATTTATTTATTCTTTGAGAAATTCACAAACATAAATTACTCAACTATTGTGCCAGACAAAGTGTCACACTTTTAGAATCCAAAAGAGATTATGAAAAATTTGGCCTGGGACTAATTGAGTTTAGGAGACTCTCATAAAGGTAGGATACAATGTGATGAATATTCTAATTGTACATAATGGAGGAAGGAATGGATTTTTTTTTTGCTAGGAGGTTAAAAGGTTCATTTAAAAATATCTTCTTGACTATAAGCAATTAGCCATTGCTAGTCAGTGGCTAGCCAAGTAGATATGGGTGGTTATATAGAACAAAGTAGTAAGGAAAGGGTGGTGGCAGGGATTTATGGCTTACTGTTGAGTTAACAAGTATGTGTAATTCTGTAATTTGTAGATTCTGGCCATTTTTGTGGATTTTTTTTCAGGAAAATATGCTAATAACAATAAAAGAAAGAACAAAATATCTTGCAGTGGGTGGTTCATGAAATGCTGCTTATTGTCTTTAAATAAATTGATGCATTTCAATAGCAAATGGAGACCAATAAGGTGAGAAGTTTTTATAATAGCCAGAGCACAGGACATAAGACGAGTGCTTAAAGTAAATCAGTAGAACTGAAAAAGAAATGCTGCTTGGGGGGAGGGGGTTCTCTTTATCTGCATACTCATATCATTTGACACATCACACTCATCAGTCCCCATTTTGTATATTCTTCATCACCAAAAGGAAAGTACCTTTTGTTCTAGACAT